TTTAATGATACCATAATTTTCCTCTTCTCTATTTGTATTCAAAGTATCTCATTTTCGGGGCTTTTTTTTTAAATATCTCTCCATATCTGATATAAAAGTAACAAATTAAATGTTTTGTATATAAAATTTGTACATCAAAGTGTTAATAATATGTATCTCATGATAAATATTTATATAAATATATATACATAATTTTATTTTTTTTAAATATATATAGAGAGATCGTGTCACCCTGGTTGACCCGGCCGAGTTTGACTAGGTCTATTGTTAAGCGGACTGAATAGACCACCCAAACCAGTTCTGTCTCTGGGTCGACCTTGGGCCAGTCCGAATTAAAAAACTATGGAAGGAAGATGAGAAAAGGACATCCACATTTGGATAAGATTGCCAAGTATAGGGGACCCCTTACATCAGTTTGGCCAAGACATTATCAACAAAAAAAAAACCCACTTCAATTGATGTGACACAAATCAAACCAAAGTGTAACCATCCAAACTCCTGTATAATTCAACAATGCTTAAAGATTAATGAGATTAGTGTCAACATACAAAAAAGGGAAAAAAAATAAAATTAACCAATAACAACACTTATAAAAGGTCAACAAAATGCAGCAAAAGCACATTACAACACCATAATTCAGACATTAATCACATAACAGTTGAAAACAAAAGTAAAATAACATTAAACTGATCAAACTAAACCTTATTTATGAAACATCTATATATAATAATAAGTTCATTCTAACACACCACAGGTGGAGGAGGATTGACTATATAGTTACACACTTACACCCTTCACTTGATCATTAAAAGCACAATTCCATCATTCAACCTCTTACACAAACTCTACATGCTAATAATAGTAGCAGCAAGAGGAACAACATTTAAATTACCTTATAACATATTAAGGTTCAAAGCCGGTGAGGACAACATCAATTCACCTCTATGCAATCTTGCCCAACTTATCAGAAGCAATTAGTACCAACTCATCACGTCCTGTTGCGACGCGTTATCATTCTTGATCTCAGAAAACCCATCCGCGTAGTCGAATGAGGACATATTGAGCGGCAATCCAAACATCATCTGGAAATTATCGGTAGTGTTGGCAGTAAACGGTGAACTCATGATCCTGCACTGATCAAACCTTTGGTCGGCGAGCACCCGAGCACTCCGCCGGTTGGATCCTCCCTTCCTCCCCTCTCCCAGCAGGTTTGCGGTCTTAACCGCGCCCAACACGACGTCTCGTGCGAGATCTTTGCTTCTAGTGTGTTTGTTCACTTTGATAGACAGGAGACGGCCCCGGTGGCGAGGCACCCTGTTAGTGCCGCTCTGGATCAGTCTGCCCAGCCAGATGACTCACATGCCACGAGCACCTACCAAGGCCGGCACGCCAGGAGGACCAGACCTCCACCGCGCCCGACACGACGGACGGTCTCCCCAGCACTTCGATCCTTTCGCCATCTTCCCCTTTCAGGTGGCCCGACTCAGCCTCGCCACAGGCGAACTACGTCCGGTGGCTCTTCTGATCGTTGATAGGTCTATCACATCCATTACTTAGAATGGTCGGGGCCTGGCTAATAGGGCCACTCTGGCTCATCTTCATTCTCTCATTCGTGATCATAGACTTGATTTTGTTGGCTTTATTGAGCCGATGATTAGCACCCCTGCTTTTGACCACTACTCGCGTCACCTTGGCTTTCACTCGGGCGTGAGTAACATTTCACATAAGATCTGGTTCTTCTACTCGCGTGACTATACCTGTAGGGTCCTCTGGGACACTGATCATGTGCTTCATGTCGAGCTTTCTGCTGCCAACCTTCCCGAGCCCGTATTCCACAACTTGGTTTATGCCAAGTGTAATAGGGTCGGGAGATATGATCTCTGGGACACCCTGCGTGAGATTGCTGAGAGTATGGAGGGATTGCCATGGATGGTTAGTGGCGATTTCAACATCTTTCTGCACCCCGATGAGCGTATGGGTGGCCGCTCAGACTGTTCCCGCGAGATGTGGGATTTTGCTCAGGACGTAGCGGACTGTGAGTTGATTGATGTTGGATGTGAGGGTGAGCCTTTCACGTGGGTTAGGGACGACCTCAAAGAGAGGCTCGACCGTGCCTTGGTTTCTAAGGCGTGGTCGAAGGTGTTTGCGGTCACGGCCGTCACACATCTCACTCGATTTGGATCTGACCATTCACCCCTCCTCATTAGGTGTCGATTTTCGAGCACCCCCTGTCGCTCTTCCTTTAGGTTCCAAAACATGTGGGTTTGCCACCACTCCTTCCACGACACTGTCAGGGATTCCTGGCTTCAGCCGACTGAGCTCTTCGGGATACGCAATCTCTAGGCGAAGCTCGGCAGACTGCGGCGTAGGTTGAGACAGAGGAACTGGGATGTTTTTGGAAACCTTCATCAGCACCTTTCTGCGGCTCGGAGTGCGCACGCGGAGGCTGAGCGGGCCTATGATCTGGAAAGTCGCGTTGGGCTCAGTACTTTAGGGATATTGTTACTGCCTTCTCCTACAAGTTGTGGTGGCGCTTCAGGAAAGGAAAGTCGCTTTGGGCTCAGTACCTTGGCGCCAAGTACTACCCTAGACGCGCCAACCACCCTTGTTGGCTGACGGCGGTGGCTCATGATATCAGCATCTTTTGGGTTTTGGGTGATGGCGAGGTTAGTTTTTGGGATGAGTGGTGGATAGGTGATAGGCCGTTGTCTAGGGTAGACAGGTGTCGCATTCCCCTTCCTGCTTGTGAGCGACCTTTGGACGGACGGGTCGTGGGATAGGGGGAAGCTTGATAGGGAGTTTGGGCCTTGGGGCGGGTTTTAGCGAGCATTTATTAGATCAGATCCAGCAGATACCCATCTCGGGGGACAGTTCAGATGGCATGAGGTAGAGACTTACATCATCGGGTGTGTTTTCTACTACCTCGGCTTGGGAGCAGATCAGGCTGAGAGATCGGCCTAATCTTCTCTTCGGAGCCATCTGGAGCGATCTTTTCACCCCTACCATTTCGGTATTCCTTTGGCGGCCCCTCTTGCGCCGGATACCCGTGGACACTGTTTTACATGCGAAGGGGATCTCCTTCCCCTCCCAGTGTGTGTGTTGTTTTGAGACTGGACGCCATGAGACCAAGACCTTTACCCACCTTTTCCTAGAGAGTGAGATTTGTGAGGAGAGTGTGGGAGTATTTTGCCACATGGACACATATATCCCTACCCTCCACAAACAGTTTCTTTGAGCTCCTGAGTTTTTTCTCACAGAGCACACACCTTAGACACGTGGGCTTCCTCATTCCTTGTCTGATCCTTTGGTTCACCTGGACG